CATGAACGAAGTATATTTATCAATTAACGTTATTTATACAAAAACGTTTAAATATGTTTGTTACGCAGTTGCTAAATTCATTACGTGGCGACATTGAATAATTCGTTATGAATAGAATCTCTAAATTTAAAGAAGATACATCCAAATGAATTGCTAATAGTCCTCTTATAACACAGAGAATCTGACAAAGTGAAGCCAGTTTATTCGTGATCTGATTCGCTGAAAAATAGTCACGTGATCAGTGTTGTGTACGCTTGTGAAAGATTACTGCAGATTTTCGTAAACGATTAAGTTTTCGAAAAGTGTATTAGTATAGTTGTCGTGAATTTAATATGAATCGATTACTTTAATCATATTAACCTCAAAATAATGTTCGACTGATACCTTGGTAAAGAAATTAATTGAATTTTGCTCTATGTAAAAGTTTAACTTTAAATTTTTTAATTTTATTGATAAAATTTTCAAATCATGAGTATCAACGTAACTGCTACCAATAAATAATATCGTCGGCTGTAATCTCATATCAAATCAAAGGAATATTTAATATATATTGGATTTTCGAATTTTCAATTTAGCCAATAAAAGTTTTGATCTATATTCGTGCATTAAAATGAATCCAAAACAAAACAAAAGAGCAAGCTCAGCGCGCTAAACATCACTGATCATCATAAAATACTAACGAGCCATTTTTCGAAAACTATAAAAGTAAAATATCACTTGCTGAAAATTGTGCATTTAAAATTTAAATCTTATCCTCATTAAACAGTTTGAAGGTGTATCATAAATGAATTCATTTGCTGTCAGTTTCGCATCCATTTATGCAAAATGATTAAGCAGTCAGTCATGTGACTTCGCCTACGAGAAAGTTGAACATCAGCTTGACAAGTGAAAATTCTCCAAAAGTAAAAGTAAGTACACAGTATAACTACACCAACAAAAAATAAAAAAACTTATACGCCCGTCAATCGAAGAAGTGTAAGGTTGTGGATCGATACTATCGTAATTTGTTTTATGGCAGCAACTACGACGAGCAACTAATGCAAATGTCAATATTAAACGGCGTCTGCGCGGATGCATAATGCGTTCATCTATTGGGATATGCATCCGCGAAATCTATACCATATGCCACAATTACGTGTAAATACGAAACAAGAAAGTTGAAAAGCTACTACTTGCTGTCTTGGAATAGAAATCTCGCGAGAGTTTTGGTAAAATGGCGATATTCGAAGTTTAGAGTGTTTTACGGGACGCTGTTATAGGTTGGAGTGCATTTTGAGTGATTGTATCAAACAATGCGAATGACAGGGTAAAGTCCTCATCTCTCTAGAATTGCGTTGTAATATTGCTGCTTGGGAGCTCTTGAATTAATTGTCTGTCATTATCAGCCGGCTTATTACATTCGTTAATGAAGTAGATTGTGAAGAGGGTTCTTAAAATGAATAAAATTTTGTCAAATCTGATGTTAGTTTATTATGTTAATATTAATTAGATGTATGTAAAAAAATGATTTTTATTCTGTTTCAAATAATTATTTTATTGTATTTTCTCTTAAACAAAACATACTATCAAATTCTCTCGTATTTAAATATCTTTTTCTTATGGCGAACGTTAGCACGTTATAATATCCGTACGCAATCAATGAACTAACTATTGCCGTCTAAACAGCCATATAAACACGCGTAGTTTCAACTAAACACACACAGTCGGTCGAACAATATTTGCCATCCATAATTCGGACAGTGTAGCAACGCGAACATTTGGTATCAGCAAAACGAATAGCATTGCGTCATCGAATGGAAGACCAAACGTTCACAAATTTTAAAAAACTCGAAGTGTATAGCAAAGAGTTTGAAGTTACGGTAGTCGGATGGTATATAAAAGGGAGTGTTGATCCCCCATCGTTCAGTTTCTCTCGCACCCCCACTTTGCAAATCCACTTGGATTTCTCTCGCTCCACCCTTCATGCTTCTGCATATATAACACTCAGACTTGTGCTCCTATCGCTGTACATATTCTTTTCTACGTCTCGCCACTAAAGCTGAAACTTCAAGATGTATTTGGTTGCTCGAGGCTGCATGGATTAAATTTCGTGGAAAACTGAGAGAATCACGTGTATGATAAAAAATAAAAATGAGTTGGCGTTTATGCTGACTTTGAGATGCTTGGTGAAAAAGTGTAAGATTAATATTTGTTTACCAGTTACTGACTAGTTACTGAAATGCTGATAGTTCCTTATCAGATAACAGTAAACAAATTATTTTCAAACTAAGATAAATAAATCCTATTAGCAGGATAAAATATACTTCTACCGAGGAACATTTGAACTTTAATTAACTGACATGATTTCAAGGCGTCATCTATTCATTTATATCATTAAAAAAAGAATGACAAAAATTTTCTATACGTGGAAAAAGAAACCTACAGATTCTTTTACAAAAACAAAAAATATCAATCAAGAGTTTTATACAACCTCACATAGTTTGATAAATATTCGTCCTTTAGCAACAATTCAAAGCTTTTACTAAGAAATATACGTATTACATTGCTAAGTACTTTCTCGTATAGTAGGCTACAATTCATGACACCCCCGGCGGGGTTGCACAAGAAGGGCAGCTAGAGCGCACTGGTATTAAACGAAGGGTGCTGCCTAACAGAATTAAAGAGAATGGAGACAACCTGAGAAGCAGAGGAAATAGTAAGTATAGAGATGCAAATATATTGTATAAGTGGCGCTGCGATGAACGGCTCTTTGTTTTACTCTCGTTTGCATGTATGTACGTTTAGTATGTATCAGATATTGGAATAAAAAATATGATGCATTACTAGAAGTAAATATTGCAATTTTGTATAAAAAATAATTTGACGATTTACGTAAAAGATACTAATTCTTAATTAATCGTTTGAAAGTTTCTGGTGTTGTAAAAGTTGGAGTGATCTAAAGACTTGCATAAAGAATGGGAGGATATTAACATATAGACAACATATTAACCGCAATGAAATTTTTGTATTTTTAATAGCTTAATTTTTATCATTATTCATTTTTACCCGCAGACGATACATTAACCGACTAATGGAACATCCAAATCGACTGGCGAAGAATATAATGCACACAACTCCAAGAGTTTCAAGATTCAAGAAATACAAAGCACCATTTAATCAAATTTGAAGTAAATTTCGTAAAATAAAAGTTAATTCATTTTTTTTAGTACAGATCAAGGAAAAGTACCATCATATAATAGATTTAAAATCACAATGTATTGGTATTCATGTTTATAATACAATTTACCGATTGTCGTCAGACATATTGTAAGTATGCTTGAAGAAATAAAAAAAATCATTTTTAAGATATGAAAACTGTTGAATATAATTTATCAACAATCAAAAATCGCCATTAACTTTTAGCGAATATGAATACCTGCCATTAATTAATAAAAACAATCTATTTCACTATTGTATATCAATAGATAATTGTTACATAAATTTAAGTTAAGAATTACTAGAGCTTTTAGGTATTTGTGAAATATATGATGTAAAATCATATGTTGTATCATTTGTGAAAATTAAGAAGTGAATGTTCTGAAATTGCGAAAATTTAAACAGACTTGTCAATTACAAGTTTGGTGAAACATTAAAAGAATATTCTTTATTTGTGACTCACCGTTCGCTTTCGGTATAAAATATAAAATAACATACTCTATTCTGTAATCCTCAAATTGATAATGAAAGATATAATATTGGTATTTCTAAATTATCTAGCACTACACGTCATTCTGCAATTGAAACATTTAACGAACTAAGTATGATTAATATACAAATAAAAAATTCCCATGTAAAAGTATATAGAAAATAGATGTTATATTAAACAATTTGAATTATAAGCTTTATAAATTAGTTTTAAATGACTGAGCTTCCTCACAGAAGAATTCCGTTAATCCAATATCCAAAGGTGAAAAAGTTGGCTAGTTGAAATTAAACTTAAGACATTTTTTAGTTTATAAATTCGAAATTTATTCGATAATAATTTATAAAAACTAAACCATCAAGCGGCAATAATGGAACTGAAGTGATTTTCTTGTGAAATTTATCATATTGAGTCAATATTTTCATTGGGAAATTGAATACCGCCATATAAAAGAAAGCTATCACTTTAATTAGATTTTTTTTAATTTAGTTAATCTATTGAATGAGACGCGCGATATCCTAAAGTCAATTAGCAGAAATGTGCAGTTGCAATTCGAGAAGCATATCTATTTCTGAGCTTGCCATTGACGCAGTACATCTCGACTCGTCGAATATAAACTTGAAAAGGAAATCCAAAAAGGCTGATAGGAACAAATGGTCTTTTCAAATCAAGCGCCAGAGCTTCCACTTGAATTTCACCCGATTGCGGCTGTATAAGTCTGTACTCTCGTTAGAGCTATAGACTAGAGGAATTATATCTCTTTTTCAGCCGTTTGACCCAGTGAACTTTAATCTGCAAAATAAAAAAAGAAAATAGTTCCTACTTTTTTTTGTTGCAAAGTTACGTTGCTAATTATTTCGAGTAATCTGTGCCGTATATCGTACGTACCCTACTTCAACTGATACCGTAGCTATTGTATAAAGCCAATTAGAGTTGAAACTTATTAATTCAGAGTTGAGACTACAGGATATCTAGTGCATTTTATTCTGGCTGTAAAACTTCTCGATCAAAAGATTTGAAACTTTGCTTCGTCAACTGTACGTAATTCAGAAAATAAATATTGTACTCGATCATTGTAAGCTGATAATATATTAGCCTACTGTATTCAAGTACAAAATTATTTTACACATAACCATTAAAGATGAGAAGATAAAATTTGATATAATTCAATTTAAAAAAAAATTATTATTATCAGACACACGTACATCACATAGTTTTATTTCACACTTATTTCACATTACATCATATCGTACATCGTAGTTTCTTGATTGCTACAATCTTTCCACCAACGGATATAATCGTAAAATCCTCGTGCTACCATAAATTACCAAGTTTGCCCCAATTTCAACAAAACTGAGAAAGTCTACGGTCGGGAAACAACAAGCGAGCAGCAGTAGCGCCACATAACCACGTACATAACACTGTCGTGCTGGGAATCAACATTCGGCACAGTTTCGCACTAGTGAGAGAAGCACGCATTCAAGGTGCTTTGTAAAGTTATCGTTACCACGGAATTTTCGATGCCCTGTCTCACATTTTTTTCCTGTCTGTCTGTTGTATCTTTATATGGCTTTTCGCGTTGTGCATGCTAGGCTGTGACGGATGGTGTAAATATTTTCACGGTTTATCGCTGTGCCTTGTGTTTCGGGAGGTTAAGAATAATCCAATTTTACGACTAAACCCGTAAAATTTTTCATGAATCGTGCCGTACATTTCGAGATTGTGTAAGTCTTTTGAAATGTTGCAAAAAAGAAATTATCCTTCTGATTTATGAAAGTGTTTGCCCATATCATACGGAAATAACAGAAATAAACGAGCGTATGTTTAGCATGCGTGAAATGAGGTAGAATCTTGGAAATTGCATTTTCGTACCAGGCATGAATCACTTTGAGCGCGTACGCTTGACCGTTTGCATCAGGACGTCCATACCTAGTCGGTTAACAGTCTCGACGAGCTGTGCGCGCGTTCGAATTATTTATAGAAAAGCACCAGGCCTGACTATTAAAAGCTTCTTGTTGACACGAATTTTTCTGTTCGAGTGGTGCAGAATAGCTTTCCGCGCACTAAAAGCTTTTCAGCTAATTCAACGCTTGGACAAAGGCAAATTACCGATAATCTATAATATTAATTCAGCTTCGGCAATTTCAAAATTATTAAATTTTCATCTTAAAATTTTGTTCGTCACATCCGACGACCTAAAAAGACAGCCGTCAGTTATGTTTGGAATAACGCAATCATTAACGTTCTTATTTACAAGGCAGTCCATACTGCGAGGGTCCATTTGCACTCTCATTAAGCTAGTCAAGCTGCAACGATGTTACGTTGCGCACTCCAACAAAACACGCACTTGTACTCTGAGTTGTTAAAGTTAATGCGCGAAAAATAAAGCGAGAGGATTCAGCTAACAACGAAATTATATTTTACGAATAAAATTGTTTTGTTGACATCATATTTAGTGCAGTCTTCGAGAAACACGATTGTGTTATATAAATCCAACAAAGTAGTTGGATGTTTAATAAGATTTTGAATTATAAATAGTTGGTTACAATAGTTTATTAAGTATTAGGAGTTATTAAAGTCCTCTATAAACATAAACTAGGCGGCTCTTAGAAAAGATTTCTTATGCGTACAGGAAAACATAAAGTTTAAATTTATATCATAGAGGTTGATGAAATGTTGTAATAAGATTCCGAATGTATCACTTGTATTAGCATTTCCGACTGGAGGTAATAAGAAAACAGAAAACTGCATTATTCTTTAATTCGTGGTTAATGACTACGAATTTGTGCTTAGCGTACAACTAGAACTACATAGAAAAATAATTTGTCAATTTAATAGTTACTTACATAGATACAAAGTATTGTCTGTGCTGTGGTTACAAAGCTTTGTAAGAAAATATTCATCTAACAATTAGAAAAAGTATATGTTCAAGATTGCTTTCATTCATTTCGTTAAAAATTTAGATAACCACAATGAGAAATATAATTTATCATGCTAATGTCAGAAGCCATTGATTCTCGTGGGCATTGAATGCTATTATCATCAAAATAAAATGCAACTATAGCAATTTTAGCAACGATCGCCTGGCCAAAGATAAAAAATTAAAAATCGATTTGATTAAACAATCACTTCATTCTAATATGTAGTAGCAAAACAAAATATTCTTCCGCTACAATATTTGTCCTTAAAATCAAGCATTTGCTATGCTCAATCCCACCATCCGCGTGGATTTGCTTAATTAGCGCTAGAGAGAAAGCATCAGGCTCGTGTACGCGGCGAATCGCGAATACTTACCTCTCTTTGCCCCCCTCCCCCCTCTCATTTTCTCGCTTATTACATAACAACGTAGCTTTCTCTCGTCCAAAAGGCCCTTTGATCAGGTTGTTATACCGCCCACCCTCTCACATTCACTTAAAGCCTTGCGTGAACACTGTAAATTCTTAATTAACGTGCACGTTACTCTCCCGCGAATATATGCGTAAATGCGCACATACGAGTGTTGAATTATTGTTGAAAGTGCTCTTGACTATGTTACGGTAATTGGATTTTAACCTTGTGTGTTACATTATTAAACTGCACATATCTTGTGAAATTGAACATATTCAAAATAATGCATGTCTTTTTTCATAATTTTTACCTTGAAATCGTGTGTTGGCTGGAATGAATACATTTTCACTACGAAAAAATATTGTCAGCTACTCTGGTCGTATACTTCCTTGAAGATAAAAATATATTTTTCAATTTTCGGTAATGGAGCTCATTTTAAAGCCTCTTATTTGTCCTTTAAAATGAACTGTCGCGAGAATTTTTTGATGATACCTACCCCGTTTTATTACATTTTGAATGAAACTACTGTTTTTTGTCATGAAATTACAATAAACTCAACAAAGAAAAGGGTGCTTTTATAGTTTATTATGAAATTTTGGCATACTTTTATTATAAGAGCGACCGTTTGTGTCAGTTTTCAAAAAGATTTGTCGAATTAAAATTGTAAAAATGCGAAACGTTAACGCACATACACAAATGTATACCTTATTTCACTTTTCCACGCTTTCTAAAAAGTTCGATAAATCTTTTCCTATGCGTTAAAATGCTGCATAATTAAAAAAAAACATACTCGTACCACAAAAACAAACATGTATACCAAGTTTTAAAAAGATTCATGGAAAATTGTAAAAATGTGAGACGTTAACGCTCATACAAAGCCAACATCAAATTTTTTTTTATTTTGTAAAAAAATAGCTATACTATTTTTTCTAGTCACCACATAAAAAATAATAATTCCAAATAATTTTTCTACCTCACTTGAAGAATTTCCAAACATCTTTCTTAAATCAAGAGAAATGAAACCAGAAAGTTTTAATTCAAGAACGCATTTCCCATTCTAAGAATTCATTCAAAATTACAAATAAATATTCGGTAATTACGAAATGCTTTCCCGTAGCTATCAAATAATGTCCAAAAAAAATTGTTATATGTATTGATATCTATCTAATTTCATAGATGTATCTTGATTGCCAGGCAGAAATAATCAATGCTAGTATCCGCGTTCCAGTTCTCATGTATACGGTAGCAGAGTGGCGATAGGGCCACGAGAAATAGCTCAAAACCACAAAAATTCTCGGCACACTTTCCACCGCCGTACCTTTCCTAACTTTAATAAATAATAAAAAAAAACCATCTACAAAGGAATATTCCACAAAATCAAACGCTCTGCGTGAAATTGCTCTCGCGCGCGCAACCCATAATATCGATTGTACGACCCCCGTTTCTAGACTCCCCACCCCCCTTTAAAAATTCGGTAGTGATCGGGCGTCACCGACACGCTCCCGCGCTTAATTAGCTTGTGCCGACAAAAAGGGGCGACACATTTCGATTTTCAGGTTATACGTATGAAGAAGAGTATAGACGATGAGCGGTTACCTTTGGGAATTATTTCATCGCTACATGATGTTACGTTATTGGACTGGATGAACGGCGACGATTGTTTGGGGAGTATCGGATTTTTTTCATATTTTTTTATTTGTTTCATTGGTGAACTATATATGTATTCTCGTATTACTCGTGTGAAATTAAGGTTTATGTGATTCATATTATCACTCGAATGTAGCGTAATTTGTATTATTATGACTTTAATTATAATTTATTGCCACGCATGTTGTTATGGAATTTTATTCACTATAGTTTTGAAGAGACATCTCGACAATCCCCGTAACGAAATCACGCATCGAATAGAGAAACTTACGTATTAGGACATATTCAAATTTACAGGAAATTTTACATTTTTTATCATAGAGATCAGTGAAAGTGCATATCAAATTCTATTGTTTCAATTATAATAGATTTTCAACTGAGCGAATATATAAAAAAATTTATGTTTTTAGAAATTAATTGGGTTAAGTAGCATAAAGTTTTATAAAATAGATGAGCGGGTGAACAAGGTATCGAGATGATTTATACAGTAGACAAAAAATATATTAAAACATAATTTTAGAAAATAAAAAATAAAACACTATAGCGTTAACAAACTTGTGTGTACGTGCGTGCGTGTGTGTGTGCGCGCGCACTTTTTATAGGCAGCGCACGCGTAAGCAGCTATCCCTAAAACTGATTACGTTTATGTATGCGTGACTCTTTCCTTTGTGCTCTCACCCGTGTTAAAGCTTTGTGCGCTCTGTGCCTTAATAACGTGCCTTTCCTCCTTTCAACTCTATTTTTTATTTATATGCTTGTTCGAGCAAATGTCGTTCCGTCGAACGTGTTAAAATGAAAAAATAAATGAATGGCCTTTTCAAACTCAAATTCGAGAGACTTCAATTTTCCAACAACCAAAAAAAATCACTAACTGAACGTAAAAAGAATTATTAGTGGGAATATTGCAATATTCTGGCGTCTACGTATATACATGTCCGCTTACAAAAGTCAAAATTGTAAGCCTTTTCCTATATTAGCTTTTGCCAATTCATTTCCACTCAACCGAGCTGTCCGCTAAGCCTCGTTTGTGTGCGCGCTTCGGCAGCTTTCAAACGAAAAACAACGGAAAAGATGTCAAATATTTCTTCTGCCTGCCTGACGGAAGTTTTGTTCGACCAATAAATGTTTGTTTTGAATCCGTCAATGCGAATCGACCGTATTTCAATCCTTGAGCGCCGTCCTGAAATAGACGATGAGTTTTTTCGGTTTTCAATTCGGTTTTATTTGTGAGATCCATTAACAGAGTTAAAACTCTTCGAGAACGATGCTCATTTCGGAACGCGCCCGTGCGTGCGCGTGTCAACAATGAATTTTCAATGTTTATTGGAAACGGTACTTTGTGTTTGCATCTATCTGAATAATTAATCGATAGTGTGCAC